CCGAGCGGGGCTTCCGGGGGCGACTCATGTGACTCTGGAGGCGGGGCGCACACCATATGAGCACATGAGTCGACTTTCGGCGATGTCTTGGATGTCATTTGTGGTGATATTCAGTGATAACTGGAAGAAGATTTCGAAATCGTGTCAAAAGAGTTTGATTTCGCGCCCCAAAGAAAATGTACGAAAATATCGCAAATATTGTTCAAAAAAAGTTTTTAAAACTTTTAGAATTCATTTCAAAAACATATATATTATTCACCGATAATATGAAATCTTAACGAAAGTTCAATAAATAGTGATTTGTTTGCGAGTATTTAGAAATAATATTTTTGTTTATTTCATGAATATTTGAATGTTTGTAGAAAATTAAGATTTTATTGAATTAGAAATATTGTCATCAAATGCAGGGAATGAGACAAAAATGTGTGAAATATTGGTTTTTGGTCTTATAATTTCAGGTTGGAGTCTATTTGACCGCTACTTCTTGTGCTTATGAGAGGAACTGGAGGTGGCATTGGTTTCATTGCCACTAAATTACTAATAATTGTTATACAGTAGTAATATTCATAACAATTTTAAATCTACGGTAATAATTACAAAAGCAAATACATTATCTTATAAATTTATAAATTAGAAAACAACAAGAACATTTCAATTAATATAATTGTATTTATTTGCAATAATATAGTCATTCAAATGAATATAAGTACACCAATACACAGTATTGCCTAATTTATAATTACATAATTCGCAAACATTTATTATGTTTACAAAAATTTATTAATTATTAATTAATACATTATTTTAATTCATAACTTACTTCACAAATAATGAATAATTTTAAATCACAATTAATTTACAATATATTCAGGGGAAATTAAAATAAATCGAAAAATATAGAAATTATATTAATTCTCACATAATATTCTGTATATCATATGATATCATGAACTCAGAAAATGCACTTCAAATACATATAACACATGCTTTTAATGCGAACTAATAGTGAGATCTCTTTCTATGGTACGGGTCTCACACGCACTCAAACCGGGCACCAAATCGGTGATCATATCGGCGTAGTATTGGCTGAACACCGCCCGGTTGTGGCCCACGATTCGCATAAACTGTCCACCGATTTGTGACAACTCTTGCTTTACGGGCGACAGACCGGTGGGGATCTGCAGGGGCTGTGCTGTCGGCGAACTCAACACCCGCTCCACGAACTCCAGTATCCGGCGCTCAACCACTTTGCGCAGCCGATTGTCGCCGCAATGGATGTCCACAATCTGCGTCTCCATTGATTGTACTCTCGATGCGTCCAATGGTGCGAACCCGTGCTCTTCGGCGCACGCTTTCAGCTCTTCCCTCACTTGCAGTGACACCGAAGTCATGACACTCTTGAGCTCTGCCACCGAATACTCGTCGCACTTGTCTGCTATCAAAACCATGAGATGGTCTTTCAGTTTATCCTTAAACTCTTGGAGTCCTTGAACTGATGGACCGCCGGTGGCGTACGTCACGAGAAATACGCTCCCAATTAGTGTCAGTTTCATCACTTTGGCTCTGATTTCACTAATTCTCTTGGCGTCCAATAGCAGTGTCTCCGGATAGAGCTCTTGTACCCCATTATCCCAAACCAATAGCTCTAAGTAGGCGTTCACCAGAATCTTATTCGTAATGATTTTACAATTGGTTTCATTTGACACATCAATCGACTCGTAATTCCTCTTAAGCCATGTTTTGGTGCATTCGAGTCCGTCGACTGAAGTCAACTCTAAACACAATACAAATACAATGAAAATGCATTCACAAGACAACCCAAACCAAACCACAAATTCATTACTCGATTGACTGTCGAGAAACTCCTTAAACTTTTTGCGCTCGTATTCAATGGACTTGAGCTGAATGTGTGGTCGCATCTGTTGGATATGGAAGTTAGCCATATCTAACTTCATCACATCCAACAACTCCATTATCCCTCTAAGAGTGGACACACAAATCAACCGTTCAATCAAACACTCATTCAAACTGTGCATTCATTTCGTCAAATCAATGGACAAATACCTGAACAGAGGCACGACATCATCGGTTTGCGTCAACTCACGGATCCTCTCGTCGCGGACGGGGGCGCAGAGTCGGGCGCATACGGACAGCACGTATTGGGCGTAGCGCTGGAAGTCGAGTATACCGTTGTCCGCCTGTTGTAGGATTAGATCCAAATCGAGAATCTCTTGGATCTCCTGCTGAAGGCGTGTGTGTTGTGGCAGAAGGAGTGACAACAGGTTCTCCTTAATCTCTTTGAGTAAACTCATGGCCTGTTTGTAATTAGTTGGCGACTCATTCAACTGGGACTCGAGTATATCCCAGAAGGCTTTGTGCATCACTTCCTTCACCCTTTTCTCCAAACTATTCACACAAATAAATCTTATTATTAGAAACAAACGCTAATCCAATGGCAACGGCACTGACCTGTTGTCGGGCGCCTCCACTTTCTCGAGCTTGAAGTTGTTGTCGACGGCTATCTCGTGCGCCAACACCATGTTCTCGACACCATTGGCCGCTTTCATGATCTCCTCGAGCGACACAAAGCGGGGCGGCGATGGGGTTATGCCGTAACCAAACACACCGGTGGCTATATTCTGGCTCATCGGCGGAGTGGTGGGTGTGAGGGGTGGGCTGTCAGGTGTTTGCGGTTTCTGACGCTTCCCATCGGGACTCGAGTTGTTTGAGTCGACGATCGTAGCGCTCATCAGATTCTCGTCACTACTGGTGCTCTCATTACGAGATCTGGGAATCTTGATCTTCGGTGTCATTGGACTGCCGTTGAAATGCTCTTTCGGTTGCTTCTCCTTCAGGACATTCATCTGATCCCCGGATTTCTCGCAATTCTTACTCTCTTTAGTCGATTCGTCCATTTGTTTCACAATTCTCTCGTTTTACTCGACACTAAACCATACATTGACACGAGAAATGAAACAAAAAAAAACTTTAATTTCAAACGTAAGAAAAGTGCAGTCATTGCACACATCATTAAATAATTAAAATAATAATTCAATAAAATTAATGATCAAATGCTGAGAGTATTGGTCGATAGGTATGCGGCTCTGTGTCTGTGGGCGTCAGTTAGAGGTCACACAAGAGATCTTAAGACAGACATAAGACAGTGAATAATAACTGAATGCACACCCAGTCAGTGGTGATATCATATGAGAGATATATTGTCTTAATGTAATAAAACGCTTAAAGTGTTGAGAGTGTGGGCCGTAGTATACCTCTCAATGTCTGACAACAAGTTTTGCTTAATATGTTGGGAAGAGTTGAATGTATTATTAGTTCACAATTAAGATGTATTATCTGTTGTATGAATTGTCGACGCTTACAATGGGTATGACATAAAAACCTTCAGAATATAATATAATTTTCTACTCAAAAATGCCACTCGAGTTAAGATAAACTTTTTTATTTAGCAAAAAATTTCCCAAAAAATAATAAGGAAGTGAAGTATCGTATATATAAACACACTATTAAGTCGCTATTAAGTTACAGCGCTTTTAAAGTTTTCATATTAATTATGTTTTTATGAAACATATCCAATACGTGTGTAAAAACCGTTTAATTAAGATTTAATTGCAACGCTAACGACCAAGACAAAACTTATAATCAAATTAAAAATAAGCACAAAGAATAAAAATAGTAAAAACTAAAAATATTCAGGAAATTACAGAAATTAAGAAAAATATAGCAAACTTTTCGACAGTATATTTGCAAAAAACTCAATAATATTTCACTTTCTATGAGAAGCCATATGTAAAGCAAAACTCTAATATAATATTCCTTTAGTTTGACCTCAATTTTACACAAGTATTCACTTATTTTGTTAATTGGTTTGACGTTTGTTTCAACGATCCTTGCATTCAAAATATTACACTTATTTTCTCACTAAAAGTCAAGAGAAAGGAAAGTAACTGAAAAAACAAATGAAATTTGAAAATATTTGTTTAACAAATCTCTTGACAAAACAATACATTTAGGGGTCATTCGCCAAGTATGTAAGGGCTACACAACAAAAACCGTATAAAAGTTTATGCAATTTTAAAGGAGCAAGTACGTTTTGATACCTACATTGTGAATAAAAATTTAGTAAAATGAAAGCATTTTGTAAAAATATTTTGATTTATGTATGAAGTACTGCATAAATATAGAGCAGTAAACAGATATTGACTTAAATATGCAAAGAATTATTAACTTCAATGAAATGTCAAAAACAGATATTTAAAATCAATAAAATACCAAAAGTTATTGAAAACTAATAAATTTATTCGCAACAAATGATTGCATAACTAGTTTATATAAAGTTATAAAAATAAACACCGATATCTGAAACATTAATAATAATTTCAATGAAAAGTTTTTAGAGGACCAGTGGTTTGGAGGCAATCGCACGATAAATGGGGACAAAAACATTGCATCGAAAAACTAATCAGTTTTTTAAAGAGTATGTATTACATGAAAATATAACCCAAATTGTGATCCACTCAACAGATAAATTAAACTAATTTTAGAAAAATCTTATTTCACCGAAAAAATGTTAATACAAACACAGATGAAGTAAACTATAAATACATGATTAGGAGATAGCGTTAAATAAACTTAAAATGTACTGAAATATAGTATAAAAGCTATAAATAATTACAATGAGAAAAACGGTCTCACAATAAGACAAACAAACAAAACATATAAATTAAAAGTTAAAACTAATTTAACAAACACTTTGCACTGGAATAGGTTTCAAACAATACTATTAGAGATAAAATCACACAAAAAAAGTTATTAATTCATTCATTTGCACATAACATTATTACATGTCAAATGACACAAAAACATTACACAAAAAATTCAAAATTCTCGCAAATTCTTTGCGTAAAAATAATCTTTCATTGAAAATGAGAATTGAAAGGAAAGTATAGTATTTGGCAATCAGTGAGAAAAGTGATGGGGTTTGCACTCAATTGCCCTACTTTTCAGTGCTAACAGACACTCGACTATACGATACACACAAGCAATGGCTTAGTTTCCGAACCAACAAATCATAAAAAGGTTTTAAACAAAAAATAACAGTAAACTAAAAAATATTTTTAATGATAAGTAAAGGAAATGAAACAAACTATCGGAAGAACTATCAAAACAAGTCAAACACAGAGTGTTTCAGTTAATTAAACAATAAATTATAAGCCTTTCTATCGGTTTAATATGCCCTCAATTCTCAACATAATTATCAGTTTATAGCTTAACATAACTTTCCATTCAATTGCATAATAACGGCTATAATGGTATATTGAATTAATAATAAATTCAATCGTTGATTTGATTAACTCATTATACAATTGTGTAATAAAATGAAAATCCTATTTATAGTAAGCAATCAATTATGAAAATAAATTCAAATATTATAGAAATCAATGAGAAATGTGTCCCAAATTCGCATACAATCGACACAATCAATACGAAAGCGAGTCCTAAATGTCGGCTTAAAATACAAATTACACGCTATTTCTGCTCACTTATAAGATTTATAAATATATTATAACCTCCTTTTGATGTCTTTTCAACAAATTAGATATTGTTTTCATAAAACTATTAATTAAACCCAAAATAGGACTGCATATTAGTTTATGAAAAAAACTCATTCAATTACAGCTAATCATTATTTGCCAAAAAATATCAGATATTTTCCAACAAAACCATTTTAAGTAGCAATCAATCATATAATAAAACTTATTTGAATACAATTTGAGATAATATTATGAATAAAATAACTGCACACTTATCACAAGCTATTGGACCAAAGGTTAGGCAAAAACTAAGCAAAACAACAAAAACTAATATAATAACCAATGATATGATAAGACAAATATATTTACTGTTATTAAATATAATGATTACACAACACTTTGAACATGGTTATAAATAAAACATTTCGTAATTATATTCAATCAATATTATTCACTGCATTTCAATGTCATATAGTTTTTTCCACTTAAACTACACATAAAACTATTACTTAAATTCACGACAAGTTTTCATTATTAACTCATAGTAACTACGATTATAAACATAAACCAAAATTACTTTAAATTCTGCATACATTGGGGGCATTAAAGGGGGGACTCAACCATACGACAGACACCACACATAACACTATTTATAAGACATTTAAATACACACAAAACCCTTGAATTTATTTAAATACTAAAAGTGAAAGATATTTATAAATAAATTCAATTTATATGCAAAAAAGTTGTATTTAAAACGAAATACAAATTTCAATAAAACTGCAAATATTGCAGAAAAATTGTTTTGAAAAATAACACAAAACTTATCACAAGTTTAACATTACATTTACAATACATTTACAGGTATAGGTACTCATTGTAATCACTATAAAAGTAGTCAATAGGCTTACAGTTAAACTAAAACATATGACTATTATCTACATAACTGTTATCAATAACTTTCTAATCAAATACATGTTTATCATAATAACATGTAACACATAATCAATACAACAAATAATATATGGATTTCAATGCAACCAAAACTATTGAGATTAAATTAATATGAATATGTATTTTACATACAATACACATGTATTATACAAAACTTGTAATAAAAGTGAACATCAGTTGCAAAGCCTTGAAATACACGACAATAAGTCATAAATAATGGACTAAAAAGCGACTCAAAAAACACATCAATTTAATGGTCTTCTCGTATTATACCGTATATTGAAATAAATAAAAACAAAACTTAATTATATTTAGTAAGCGATTAATAGCTATAACTAATGTATTATTCAATACACAGATAAATTAAACGAGATATCGATTACCCTGGCTATAAATATAATTAAATTAACAAAAAGTAGTCAATACTGTACTTACATAACAAAATGAATGTCAAAAAGCGCTTCAAACACACAATTATATAGAAATTTAAACTTTCAAATGGATAACCGATAAAACAATATATGTATCGATAAACACAATAATAATGACTGACTTTCAGGCCGATTGTTAACCAAATGTTAATATTCTTGAGTAACGATCAGAATATTAACAAATGGTTTGACAGCAAAAGCTCACAAAACAATGGTTTTGATGGAGTCTTACACTACGGACACAGACTGTGTTATGCAGTCATCGAGTCTATCAATGACTTCAGTATGCAATCGATGTGTAGTGAAGTAGTGCTGTGTCTGTGAAGCACTGTTTACATCACGTGACCCACACATAGGCCTCAACATATGGGCGAAGCACACGTTTAACACACCGTTACGCTATGGGAGGCACTAAATGTCTGTTAAGATCACCAAATGCTATGTTGAGGGATATTAGCGTCACTAATGTTACGTATGGATGACGTACGGGTGAGTAAAGTATGTGTGAGTGACGTAGGATTTAAATGTATCCCATTGTCTCACATAAATAACGTTTGTGTGAGAAATGTTTGATTTTTGTGAGATTGTAACTTTTCATAAAGTTTTGTGAAATACAACTTTTATTACCAATGCATTAATTATATATAATTAAAATACCATTATTTTGGACCAAATTCATGGTTTCTGTAAGCGCTACAGACAATAGTTACTAGAAATGTGGTGAAAACTACATAGCTTATATGATAAATAAATACGTTAAACAAATTAACTTTATTTGGGAACTTTTATTTTATTTAACTTTTTAATTTTATTAAATAGAAAATAAAATCTTTTATTATTTTTAAATTACATTTAATATAATTATCAAATAAGTGTTGGATTGTTA